AAACACACACATAGAAACTTCAAAATGACAGGTTTAAACACGTTCGACCTTCCACAAGTGTGATCCAAACCAGTCCCCTAATAAGAGGCTGTACTTCTGCTCTATATTTCCCGTGTCACCTCCTCCCATGCTCGCCTCCAGGACTTCTCCCATCCTATGGAACTCCATACCCCAATCTGTCCGGCTGTCTCCTAATCTATCCTCCTTTAGACGATCCAAGAAAACCTTTCTCTTTAAAGAAGCCTATCCTGCTTCTACCTAGTAAATCACCATTTAGTTCCTCCATCAGCTAATCCTCCCACAGCAGGGGCGGACTGACCATTTGAAAACTTGGGCACTGTCCGAGGGCCCGGAGTCAGTAGGGGGCCCCAGGCTTTTTTGAGTTTGGGCAAGGACCAGGGGCCCCATGATCCCCTATTGCCCGGGGGCCCCATGAGTTGTCAGTCCGCCCCTGTCCCCACAAAATGATCAGACAGATAAGGGAACTGTAAGTATTGAGGTTTACTTAACTGTTGGCGCTATATAAATCCTGTATAATAATAATAATAATTATTATACTTGTAATGTATAATGTGCTTATTGTTCTCTTAGATATATTTCCACCTTGTATAAAGTTGCAGTAGATCGCTTATGACCCCCTTCTCATTGAGGATCACCTCTGGCTGAGCGGGTCAGCATGACTTTACGGGAAAGGGGATTCTTTTTTTCACCATTAGTTGTGAAATGGGTTGTTTGCCCTTTACCTGCTACTGTCACACGTGAGGAAATCAGCTAAATGATCAGACAGATTGTAAGTTGAGGTTTACTTAACAGGTGCAGAGTAAGAATAAAACGTACCTATGGTCAAAGTGTAAAATCATAGATTCATTTCAACATGGTATGGATTAGGGGGGCACTATGTTTTTCTTTTTCTTCATAAAAATGTAATTTTTTAAAAAAAAATGTCAGTCCTGCTGCAGCATACATTGTACAGATGTGCAACTTTGCGGGTAGTTTAAGGGGACACCCCGGGCATGATATTTAAAGGAATTTTCCTTTTTTTGGCAATGAAAAATGACTTAACAGGTGCAGAGTAAGAATAAAACGTACCTATGGTCAAAGTGTAAACTCATATATTCATTTCTACATGGTATGGATTAGGGGGGCACTATGTTTTTCTTTTTCTTCCTAAAAATGTTATTTTTTTAAAAAAAAAATGTCAGTCCTGCTGCAGCATACATTGTACAGATGTGCAACTTTGCGGGTAGTTTAAGGGGACACCCCGGGCATGATCTTTAAAGGAATTTTCCTTTTTTTTGGCAATGGCAATGAAAAATGACTGCTCCCTTAAAATTGGTACTTTTGGAAAAAAATGTTTTCACCGATTCATGTACCTCAGGGCGGTACCCGAGTCCACATACCCTTTTATGGCCAATAACTTGCATATAACTTGCATTTCAACTATCCCTAGCCCACTCCTAATATTCTGAATGGTCTTAAGGTGTGAACGTACTTTGTGAAGATCCAAGCATATTTAGGATGGGTTCACACCTATGCATTGTTTGTGGATTTTGCAGAAATGCACTACAGTCCATTTAGCATGGTTTTGCTGTGGGAAACGTTCACATCTATGCATTTTTGGAAAGGGTCAAGGACCTTTTTAAATGCAACAAGGTGTGTTTTTGGTTCAATAAACGTCAATGGGAATGCGGCAGAAACATATGTAGTGTGGTTTTTATGCATTTTGCTGTTTTTTGCCAATAGGAAAGTATTGATTTTGATGCAAGTTTAAATGGGTGCAACTTGGGATCTACTTGGATGTGACTTTGAGGTGGGTTTGGATGGGTGCAATTTTGATGCTACTTGAGTTCCAGAAAGTGTAAAGTCACATCAAAGTTGCACTATATGAACATACTTATTAATATTATTATTTATTACAAGTACTTATATAGCGCTGTCAATTTACATGTATATATTGTACATTTACTAGTCCCTAAACCCCAGGGCCAGTTCCCACTACGTGCATTTCAGTTGCTTTTTTTCTGCATCCAAAATGCACAGAAAGTAGGTTATATGGTTGTTAATGTCATAGCTCACATCAGTGCTTGCATTTCCAGTGCATTCCAGTTGCAGAAAAAAAAGTAGAACACGCTGCATTTTTTTTTGCATAGAACTGTACTGGAACGCACATGTTCCTATTTAAATCGAAGAAAAAGAGAGGGAAAAAATGAACTGGAATCCATAAAAAATGCATTGGAATGTTTATGCAGAAATACATCTGCACTGCGTTTCTATAGTGTGAACCGGCCCTATAAGATCCCTAACTCACATTCACACATACTAGGGCCAATTTATACAGGATTCAATTAACCTACCAGCATGTCTTTGGAGTGTGGGAGGAAACTGGAGTACCTGGAGGAAACCCATGCAGGCACAAGGAGAACATGCAAACTCCAGGCAGGTAGTGCTGTGGTTGGGATTCAAATCCACGACCCTAGTAATGCCAGGCGGAAATGCTAACCATTTAGCCACTGCGCTGCCTGTTAGCAAGTTTTGCTAACTTTCCTGTTACCCGTAAAAAAAAAAAAAAAGTATGACAGTTCTGTTCATGTGACTTTACGCCATCTTTCACTCAAGTAGCATCAGCCCTGGTTCACATTGAATGCAACTTTGAAATTGTGCTACTTCACTTCCAATAATGTGGTTTCAAAGCTGCAGATCAGTGAGATATGTTCCTTCAATTTCACTGCGGCTTCCAACTTCATTTAGCAGAAGTCTTTGCAAGTTGCAATGAAATCGGAAAAAAGTAGTGCAGGAACTATTTTTGAAATTGCGCTACTTTAAATCGCACGGATTAAAGCAGTGCCATAGAAATACATTAGATGTGACTTCAGGTGCGATTTGTAAATTGCATGTCGCACCTAAAGATGCACCGGTGTGAACCAGGGATAAGTTAGCATCAAAGTCGTATCCAAGTCACACTCATGTCGCATCAAAGTTACATCAAAGTTAATTGTTTTCTATCGGCACTAATTTAGCAAAAAATAGAAAACACAGTGGTGATTAAATATCAAAGCTATATCTGTAAAAAAAATGACAACAATTACATGTGGGTACAGTGTTGCATGACTGCGCAATTGTCAAAGTGTGACAGTGCTGAAAGCTGAAAATTGGCCTGGGCAGGAAAGGGGTGAAAGTGCCCAGTATCGAAGTGGTTAAAGTGGTTTCTGAAGGAGAGAGAGAGAAAGAGAGAGAAGGAGAGAGAGAGTGCGAGAAGGAGAGCGAGAAGGAGAGAAAGAGAGAGAAGGAGAGAGTGTGAGGAGAGAGAGAGAGTGCGAGAAAGGAGAGAGAGTGCGAGAAGGAGAGAGAAAGAAGGAGAGAGTGTGAGAGGAGAGAGAGAGAGAGAGAGAGAGAGAAGAAGGAGAGAGAGGGCAAGAAGGAGAAAGAGTGAGGTGAGAGGAGAGAGAGCGAGAGGAGAGAGAGAAAGAGAAGGGGAGAGAGAGTGAGAGAGGGAGAGAGAGGGCAAGAGGGGGGGGGAGAGAGTGCAAGAGAGAGAGAGAAGGAGAGAGGAGAGAGAGCGCACGAGAAGGAGAGAGAGAAGGAGAGAGTGTGAGAAGAAGGAGAGAGAGAGAAGGAGAGAGAAAGCGTGGGAAGGAGAGAGAAGGAGAGGGAGAGAGCGCAGAGAAGGAGAGAGGAGAGAGAGAGTGTGAGAAGGAGAGAGAGAAGGAGAGAGAGAAAGCGGGAAGGAAGGAGAGAGAAGAAGAGAGAGCGAGAGAAGGAGAGAGAGAGGAGAGAGAGAAGGAGAGAGAGAGCGAGAAGGAGAAAGAGTGACAAGGAGAGAGAGTGAGAGAAGAAGGGAGAGAGAGTGAGAGAAGGAGAGAGAGCGAAAGGAGTGAGAGAGCAAGAAGGATAGAGAGAGCCAAGGAGAGAAGAGAGAGAGAGCGAGAAGGAGAGAGGGGGAGAGAGAGTGGGAGAAGGAGAGAGAAAGAGAGGAGAGAGAGAGTGAGAGAAGGAGCGAGAGGGTGAGAAGAAGAGAGAGAAGGAGAGAGAGAGAGGAGAGAGCGAGAGAAGGAGAGAGAGAGCAAGAGGGAGGGAGAGACAAGGAGAGAAGGAGAGAGAGCGAGAAGGAGAGAGAGCGAGAGAATGAGAGTGAGAGAAGGTGAGAGAGAGCAAGAAGGAGAGAGAGAGAAGGAGAGCGAGAGCAAGAAGGAGAAAAAGACCGAGAAGGAGAGAGAGAAGGAGAGAGAGATCGGGAAGGAGAGAGAGAGAAGGAGAGAGAGACCAAGAGAGAGAGAGCGAGAAGGAGAGAGAGAGCGAGGAGAGAGAATCGAGTGTAATGCAGTTCTCTGTGCTGACAAGGAACATGTCAACAAAAGTGAGGTGACCCTTCCTCTGCTGCTTTTTTATGGTCCAGCTACAGACAGGAAGCAGAGAGGTGACCAGACTGTATTGCATAACAGCATTAGGGAAAAGTTAGGCCAGAAACCTGTCTATATTGACTTGCAGGGCAGTATAAATTTTAGAACTGAATGGACAAAAATACACATCCTTTGGCAGGCAAATCTGCTCTTGTTATATATTTGGCTATTTGGTTGAAGCTCAGCTTTATAGCATTTCTGACTATTTCTAGCCACAGTGTTGGCAACACGATGCAATTGATTTAACCTTTAACGATTTACGAGGCTTAGGGAGGGCAAGAGAGGCCCATTGGTTCCCATGGGCAACTGTTATTTTCTATTTTATACACTCATACTCAAGGTTCTTTGTATCTTTGAAACATTAACACCAATATTATAACATTCAAAAGTCAATAATAAATTAAATATTATTGTAATGTGCAAAGAGCAATGACCAAGTAGATTTCAGCTTAGACACTTCATTACCACAACACACTTTTTTAAGTCTTCATACAAAGTGTGTGGTGCCCTGAGAGCAATATCCATTTATGTTTCCTTTTGGAGTTCATTTGTGGGCAGTTTTTTCGATGAGAACATTTTTTTCCCGGACATATCTTCTGTTTCTTATGTGAACCATTTGGTAAGACTTGGTGTGGTTCTATACGGAGGGGCACTTTGTAGTTCTATACATGCTTTGCAGTAATGTATAATCCAAGAAGTATTTCCCACTGGCTTCAATTTTGATCTCCATTTGAAGTATTCCTGGTATTTCTGATCACTTTTGTCCAGTTCAAGTAGGTAAGAAGCCAGCTCTTTTGCACTGGGAAAGTCATCGACATGAATGAATGAATCAGATGGAATAAATTTCTCATAGTTTTCTCGGGGTGGGCCAAGAACCACTGGGACACTTCCCGACAGTAAAGCATTACGCCAGAGCTTTTCTGTTATATAGTCTGTATGTATTGAGTTCTCAAAGGATAAGTAAAACTTATATTTAGAGATAACTGAATTTGTTTGCTCCCTGATTAAAGGGAGATGTTGGTTACCATAGATATGTATGGTTATGTAATTCTTCAATTCCTCATAAAACCTGACCCGTTTGCTTTGAGGGTTCCAGTTACTGACAACCCAAGCCACCAGCTGAGACTTTTCTGGGATTGTATAATTATCAGCAGCTTCATTCTGCTCTAACCATCCATAAGGAGTAAAGATATCAGAGTCACTTCGGTAGGACATCGTGAGGTTGATGAGTTTGTCCATGAACTGCAGGTTTGGGCTGTGACTTGGAGATTCCAAAGTAAACCACACCCAATACTGTCCTTCTGGCCTTGGCATTTGGGGCATCTGCTTTCTGGATTGACATACATCCCTGTGATGAAAAACAACTGCCTTTGCTTTGTTATAGAAGCTATGGTTGGCTGTAAACATGCACTTAGCAGTATCAAAGGGTTTTGGACACTCATCTACAGGGAACTGGTAATTAAAAGGCCATGTCCATAACAAAACAACAAAATTTGATTCAGACTTGGAAAGAGCTGCCGAATCTGTGCAGTTGGACATGATGGAAACCTTATTTCTGATATGAATATTACTAATATGATTATAACAGAATAGCATTAAGGCAGCTAAAGTTTGGATGAGAAATATAGTAAAATAACAACGGAATGATGACTGTTGTGCTGGTTTCATTTCAGATCTAAAAAAAAAAAGACAAAGACAAATAAGTATTCAATATAAACTAATCTGGGTACCAAACCCTTCCAAAGAAAAAAAAAATCATAGATTAAAGCCAAATGTCAGCTAAAATTAATATTTTTTTTTATTGACAAGTTGATTTTAATTTGGGAATTTCACTGACTTTATAAGCCCACCAGGTTTCCCAGATATGCTCAACTACAGTTGCCATTACAAAAGTCATGTGATGATGCTGATTTCCCACCACTAGATTTTCTTTAATGTAGAATAAAAAACTGAGTACTGCAGTCATAACAGATAGCCACTTATTGATTGGGGTCTTGTGGGAAGGGCAGGAGACGATGTTAGGGAAAACTTGCCACGAGAGACTCCAAGAGATGGTGGGTGAGGTAGCCTTCCAATGCCCATCTGAAGCTTGTTGAGGTGAGTTGGACATTAACACAAAGAATGGAAAGCTTGACGTTGCACTATAGAAAAATGCAGTAAAGCTATGAAGAATCATTATGCTGGTCCCCTACAATCTACCAGTACAGGTTGCACAGTTTATGTTGATTCTGTGTGAAGTTTATGGCGCCAGGAGTAAACGTTTATAGCTTAGGACTTTATGAAGCTGAAATCAAACAGGACACCATTTCCCTGACATTGCACTATTTCAGTGGTGTTGTTGGCCTGCTGTGCATACTCTTCTACTTGGCAGTCAGGTTATCTGTCAACAGGGCCAACTGGAGGAGCTCTATAGCAGATGACAATGTTGCGGCTAATTGCAAGGCAGGATGTGCTGTTACTGGCAGGATCTCCAGGTAAGACATTCTGCAACAAAGTAATACAAATCATCACAGATGTAGCTGGCCAGCTAAGACCAGTCCTAGGTTGCTAATATGGTTCACATATATGTGTATACCGAACCTGCCAATAACCTCAGTACAGTGTATATGGGCATATGTTAAAGCCAAAAGCAGAATCATTGCTGTAATTTATGTCTTTGATTGTTATATGACATTTATATATTAATTGTGTTAGCAGAAGCAGAAAAGGAAAATATGTCTTTAAGAGTTAGTATATAGGTGAGCCAATCACAGACAGCCTCACACTGTACAGTGTCCCAGCCAGTTTCACATTTATGCCTGTGTAAAACTCCCTGCTAGATTGTTTTAGAGACACATGCTCACCAGACAGAAGAGGAAACAGACAAAGTTCCAGTCAGAGAAGCTCCATGGAGGCAGAGAAGGCCAAATAGGTATTTAATGCACTTGTGTGTTCCTCTATTGTTTAACAGTGCAGGTAGATCTGTGTGTAAAATCTGTTGTATGTGTTTACTTGTAGTTCCACCGAATCTATCGAATTTATCAATCTACCGAAATAATCTAACGAGATAAGTAATCGAATCTATCGAGATAAGCTATCGAATCAACCCAATGTAATACGAATTAAACCACTGTAATACGAAAGAAATAAGTCACTAAGATAAACAAAACAAGCCATTATAAGCAGTGTTATATGAAGAAGATTGAAGTTATTAAAGAAGTTAACTAAAGTATTCGGTGTGCTCTTTAAACCTACTGCATCCATAGAGCGGCATTGGAGGAATTACAGAGTAAAGTCAGTCTAATCAAACAAAGAAACAGCAATTGCATAATTTTTCTAATGCCACAGCGCACAAAGCACCAAAGGGTGCTGCGCCTGCCACAACAGATGGAAAAACTCCCCCATTTTTTTTAAATTACAAGGAGAATTTAGAAGTACTGGGTCAGGGTTTTTTTTTTGTGTGTTATGAATATTCTTCTTACTTTCTGTCTTAATGTATGAAGACAAGAATTCAGGAGAATCTCTCTATCTGGGAGTCAATTAGCAATACAAACCCGGCGGAGGTTTTAGACATTTCTCTCCCTATCCAAAAAAATAGCATTTTCAGCCTTGCCGGCTGGTGAGGGAGAGTATGTGGCATGTGCTACATCACAGTGGAAGGTACCTAGGTGCCGTTATTTTGCCCAGCAGACCAACTTTACCCTCCACCATAATGTGGAATGCAACATGTCTGTCAGTGAGTCATGCACAGGGACCCTACATATTCTTTACTACATAATGATGGAGATTTGCTAAAACTGGTTACACCAGATTCTGTGTGCACCAATCAGCTTCTAACTACAGCTTGTTCAATTAGGCTTTGACAATAAAACCTAGAAGTGAATTGGTTACTATGCACAGCTGCACCATTTTTGTGTATTTGTCTGAATTAATCAACCTTCTGGTGGCTGGGAGGGATGCAGAATGTGGCACACCACTGGAGTTGGTGATGCCTGCACTTGTCTTGTTTGATGGCAACAGCACAGTCACCCACACATGCACAGGAGTCGGTCATCCCAGCTCAGAAGGGCCGTGTCAGAGATGTAAGCTGAACTGCACAGGCAGGGTGCTGTCATGTTTTCAAGAAGCTGTATACAGCAACCTCCTGGCTTTTCCAGCCATGATATGCCTGTGCCTTGCTTAGAGAAGCACAGAGGCCCAGTGAGGAAATCATGGAGTCTAAAATAAGATAAATAACAAAAACAGAATGGTTTTATTTGAATATAATTAGCATTTTGAGGAGGTGTGGCTTGAGGAAGCAGGGAAGTTAAAAAGTAGATTTAAGCTGGCCATACATGGATTGAAATTTGAATATGAATTTCGATTAGGGTTGCCCATAGATGGATCGAAAATTGGGGTTCCCACCTCATCCCTTTAAAACCGAACACATATTAATTACACAGCTTCTGGTGCTGATTAAAGTGGTCATTAAACTCAGTGCCTTATCTGCATTAAATTAGCCTCGGAACCTGTGTAATCAATATGTGTTTGGTTTTAAAGGGATGAAGTGCAACCCTAATTTCGATCCATCTATGGGCACCCTGACAGGCAGGTGTGCAGCTTTAACCAGTTGTACTGCCTAGACTGCTTTGTGAATGATCCAGGTTTTCTTTGAGCTGTTCTATATGTATACTTAAATGCATTCATTCAAAAATATAACATTGAAAACATCAGGGACACTTTTCTTTACACTGATTTCATTAACAATCTAGCAACCAGAATATTTCCATGCGGATCTGCAAAAGTCTATGAAGAATTACACAATTCAGAAATCCAAAGATGTTTCAGAACAGGGTATAATTTATTGTGACTGTGAATCAGTCCAATAACTTCTAACAACATATACATATTTTATCTGAATAGAAATTAAGAATTCGGTTACCCAATCAGCCTAAATTAACTCCTTTTTCCCCTTCCGCCCTCACCTGATTATTATCTTTCTGATTTTTTTTTAATTTTTTTTTAACCATTAATAATTAAAATTTTTAAATTATTTTTCAGTTTTGTTTGTGTTTTTTTATTGTGAAAAAAAAACACTAAGTTGATACTGTATATCACAATAAATTGGCTTACTTCTCCTACAAAATAATATGTGCATTACATATGTACATTACTTTGTTTTGGTATATAATGACACAATTATTGACAAATAAAGAAGGCCTATAATAGAACTGTAAAGATTGCTCTGGTCTATAGGTGTGCGAGCTGAACTGGTTAAACTGCATGTATGTGCAACCAGCTTTTTTAGGTTTTGGATAGAACAGGGATGGGTTAGAACATCTATTGGATTTTGTTCTTGGGCTCTGTTAGAGAGATTTCCCTGTACTGTAAATAGTTTCACCAGATAGAAGTGAGAGGTAGGCTGGAACCCCTACTATTTTCTTTAATGCTATCAGTGTCCTTGTTGCCAATTCTCCCTAATGTCATAAAAAAAGGAGAATAAAGTACAAGATGAATAGAAAAGAGAAACACAATGATAAAAACGACAGTACTGATAATAATAATAAAAGGGGGGACTACTAATGGAAAATGGATATATAAATAGCTAAATAAAAATAAACATAATACAAGCTGAGATACTTAAAGGAAAATAAAAGATATATCCATAAATACCATAAAATATATATGAATATATGAAACCGGTAAAAGAATGTATATCAATCGTAAAAAGGAGGAGAACGGCAACCTATGTAGAAAATTAAATAAAATACTATGTCAACTCAAGGAACCTTGGTGAATGCATGCACATATGGCAGAAAATAATATATACACGCCGGCATCCAAAAATAACATCTCTAAACAGGTGTAACAAAGGCCCTTAACATGGAATTAAATGACCATATGGATCTCTATTTCTTCATTTAGCCCATTAGACGGCAGAGTGTTTAAATATAAATCCAAAATGTTTTGCATTCACAGAGTTTGGCAAAATGTTCTACCTTGGAAACTTTATTGGGTACCTCCTCAAGGACGCAGACATGTAAATTGGTTTATTTGGCATGTTTTTCTCTGAAGTGTCGAGGAACGAAGTGTTTGACACACTCTTTTTCTACGAGTTTCCACAGGGGCAACCAATGAACCACATAGTTGCTGGAAAACTTGTAAAATTCTTTAATGGTGTTTTGCCATTTTCTGTGAATGTCTTTTGGCCTTGATTCACAAACTGGCAGGTTAAACAGGGTTTCTGTTTGCAATGAAACATAACTACTAAATTTCCAAATAAACTCAGCCTTTGAAGTAATTGTTTCTTTTCTTTAACTAGTTTGCTCTGTGCACTTTTACTTTTAAGGTTAGGAGCCTTCTGCTAAGCAAATTTTGGCCTCGAGGACAAATGGGGTCCTAGTACATTATCCCATAAACAAAATATTCCAATGTTTGGGTAAGATTCTTTTCATAGCCTAAACTCACAATAGAACTGCGTGATGAACCTGGAGTAGTTAGATGACTGTGCTTCTTTCTGTTTTTTTCTTAATAGGTCTCTCTAAGCACAAACGGTATGCTTCTTCCACCAGACTACCCTT